TTCCTGTCCCTTTGCTCCTTCTTTATGTCTTATGGGAGGGCCAATCACCTCCAAGCCTCACTCCCATCGCCCCTTTTGTCTTAACTATTCTTGCCTTCTAGCAGCTCTGCGCATGCACACACTGGGAACAGGCTCCCTCTGTTCTTCTGCCTCGCTGTTGTCAGATTCTGGAGGCTCCGGAGTCAGCACAAAACTCCCAGATGGCCCTGGCCCCATCTCTGTATCGGATGCAGATTCCTTGTCCAAGTCCTTCCCAGACTCCCGGACTGGCCCATGTTTCTCCTCACTGTCCAACTCTGCTGCTGTCTGCACAGGCTGTCGGCAGACCACAACACAATATTCCCAATGCCCAGACTCCGGGGTCCTTTTCTATTTGGAGTTCCAATGTTTACAAACTGCTCTTTCAACTTTTCTACCTCATTTTGTGACTGCGGGCTGACAAAATATATGAGGGCTTGGGCCTAGACCACTTATGAGAATGTAAAGACTCCAGGCTTATGCCTCTCTTGACTCCACCAGCCCTTCTCCTACACTGTCCTGAATTAATTTTCTCAAGAAAACTGGAGATGGGTGATAACATAAGAGAAGGATAAGTTTCATAATTCTTACCTTTATATCTCGATGGATCTTGCCTTGTTTGTGAAGATAAGACAAACCCTGGAAGGATGGGAAAAAACGCACACATCCGATTATCTTTGAATCATGCCTAATATAACAATATTTAATATAAGGATAGTCTTTGACTTAGGACTACAATTGGGACCAGAATTTTGGTTGCTAAACAAAGTGGTTGTTAAGTTAGTCATGCCCTATCTTATGACCTCTTTTGCCACGGTTGTTAAGCAAATTGCTGCAGTTGTTAAGCAAATCAGATGGTCCTTAAGTGAAACTGGCTTTCTATTATTATTATTTTTAATCTAGTTCACTTCATCTAGTTCACTAAAAGCTGGGAGAGTTATAAAGAAGCTGTTGATTTGCATGTGGGATATTCCAGGTTCAGGCCAAACCTAGCGCACTTCCACCCCCAGGGAAAATAGCGTGGGAAAAAGGGGCATCCACAGATTTCTACTCACTTGTAAGGTTTCCCGGCAGATATAGGCAATCTGTAGCTCCGACAAGGGGCCCGTGACTGCAAAGGAACAAGGAGACAGTGAATGTCACTTTTCAGCCTGCATGAAATTTCATCACACTCCACCAGTGCCGCTTCTGATATCTCGAACGATCTGGAAGGATTTAAGATTAAGTTGCCGGATTTAAGATTAAGTTTCTTCTTTCCTTCTTCTTCCTCTCTCCTTTCTTCCCTTCCCCTTCTTTCTTTCCTTCCTTCCTTTCCTTCCTTCC